AGACGACATCACTCCCTCATTCTGCTTACACTCTATTCTTTTTCATTCTGTATTTCAAATGCTAAATTCAATAATGGATGGTATATATATCTTACAAAAAAAATTCTTTGGGTGAGATATAGTTAACAAACCTTTAATAAACAATTGTATTTTTTTCATATATTCATATACATGCAATGCCTAGTGAAGAAGAACAAGTTCAATGATAACAGCTTTATAACTATTTTATAGTATATATATATATGTGAAATGTTCCCACTTTTTCTAACTTGTTGCTGTAATCATAAGAAAAGTGGTAAAAGAATGGGAAAGTAAACCCAAAATCTCCAGGAAAATGTGTTCACTATAGTATTGTTTAGGGAAATGTCTCTGTACATAGATGGTTCTACAAGTGCTTAGCCACAAAAAAGTCAATTAGTAGACCTTGCGACCAATTTCACCTTTCCTTGAATTTACAGATAAAAAAGAGAGAGAGAGAGAGAGAAAAAATAGTACTGTCAATATCAATGCTTTTATTTTTGTTATAAACATTAAAATTATAATAGTGTCATTGACATTGCTAACAGCAATATTTGATACCAGAAAATATTTTTGAAAATCATGGAAAAGGGTAAACAGGTGGTACAGGTAGGACTCATAATTGGCTCATTGCTGACTTAGGACTTGTGGAGCTATCTATGTGTAAATACAATTATCCTACCAGGGATGGCATGTATGTACATGCCATCCCAAGAGGCTTTGGGTTAAGTGTCGGTGATGAAAGGAAATTTTGGTTTATTTATTTATTTATTTATTTATTTTTTTTTATTTTTTTTTTGTTTTAAACAATTTTTCAATTTTTTTTTTCCATTATTATTCCTGAATCTAGGACTGAACCTCCAGAAGTTCAACCAGCTAACAAGATAGGGCACTCTTAGGGTGAAGTGATAGAGAGAGTGTTCCTTGCAGCAAATTGAAATGTGAAGAACTGTGATATAACAAACCATCTAAGTCAAGAACTGTACTTTCCATTAACATGATATTTGAGAAATGAGAAATCTCAGCAAAGATTTGGATATTCTTTAGATTCATTTGTGTACAACTTCACACTTTTCTAGTGTACAGTTGCGGACACATGACTCTGACACACCACTGGAGTCTCACATACACAGATGGTGGGTTGTTTCTGGTTGACAGGTTTCTGTGAGGGAGGGTAAGAGCAGGTAGGTGGGGGCAATGGTGGGACGGCTTGACAGTAGGGTAGAAGAGGTTGGACTGAGGGCAGGGGTAGCAAACAAAAGTGGAGTAATTTGAGCATTACCAGCCAAATTACATGTTCAGTGTGTGGGACAATTACTAACCTATACTGATAGAGGAAATCCTGTTAAAACAAGGACTTATATAACTACGATAGAAAACATTACACATGTTCCATACGTACTGGACCATCTCCTTTGCCTCCTACCCTCCTCCACAGTGTGTGTGCGTGTGTGTGTGTATATGTTTGTATGTAGACATACACATATATTAATATACTTATAAATTTATAAATATATATATATATTCATATATATTTATAAATATATATATATATATATATATATATATATATATATATATATATATATATATATATATATATGTATATAAAATCAAATACTTATGTATATAAATATAAATACATATGTATATATCTAAACAAATATAAAGATAAATAGAGAAAATCTATTACAAGAGTGCAATTTCATTGCTGATTTTACTCTGCTTTTCAGACCTCAGGTCAGCACTGTAAGGTTTCCACTACTCAGTATGTTGTATTTTTATAATTGTTAATATTTTAACAGTAATTTACAGTTATGATAATCAGAACTTCCAAAACAATATTTACATCAGATTTATTCTCGTGTGACAAGAATGAACCTAATAACCACTTCCATAGAAATCACAGCAGACAAACTGTGTTAAGTCCTGATAACAGGGGAGAATGAATTATATCAGGGAAACTATAGGGTAAAACAAGCTGGAATAAGAAGAAATGAAAACAAACATACATAAAACCTGCACAAAAAATGTTCAAAATCTGCTTATGAAACTCTACGGACATGTCCACTATCTTTGAACGTCTGTGGACCGACGCACCAACTTTCAAAACACTCTACGGGAATCCCTTCTTTCTGGATAATCTATGGGAATTAACAACATCCAGTATGTCCTGACCAATAAAGCAGCCTAATTCCATGTCACAAACTATTAAACAATCTAAGTTACCGTAACTTGGCGTGCCTTTTGGACACTTCTTGTGGGGGAGTGATAGGGGCCTCTGTCCCCAGACACCCTCAAGGAAACATTCTATTTACCTCAGTATGTATAGCAAGATAGGAGGATTCTTCATTTTCCTTAAAGAATAAACCAACACTTTTATATTTCAAGAAACTAAAATTTCCTTCATTTCTGTCTATTTCCTGGATGGCTTAGTTTCTAATCAATTTTTTCTGGCAATCTGGCACACTTTATGGGCTCACTTATCAAGCTGTGATAGTTACTAAGGTCTATTTCTTCTGCATAGCAACTATATTGTCTTACAAAGGACCCAGATTCAATGCAACACTGAAAATTAAACATTCCTCATCAGTGTTTTGTCGAGGAATGGCAACCGCGAGGTCTTGATAGTCCCAGTAGAAAGTACAAATGCTCATTAGGTTTTTGTAAATAATAATAGAAAACTATCAAAACACGTTTTTTTTTTTTTTTTTTTTTTTTTTTTTAATACAATAAATACAGGAATGCATAAAATACATGAATTAGGAAAATCAGACATTTAAATTTACAAAACAATTGTCTTCACAAGCACATGGTAATACATAAACTAGTTGAAAGCCCTCATAGTAATGTAAACATTCATGATGCTAACATTGCAAGGGAAAGGAAAGTTTGGTGTCTCGAGATATAAAGGTATTTGGTTTATTGTTTACAGTGTGGATGTAGCTCTATCTTGCCGTACATACTGAGGTGAAGGGAATGGGCCTCGGTGGGTGTTCAACCTTCCCCCTAGGCAGTGCGCTAAGGGCATGCCTAGTCACAACATCTTAGATTGTTATGAGAGGTTGGGTTCTGGGTCAGGAGTTTGGGGGGGGTATGTAGAGTTTCATTAGTCAATTTTGAGCATTTTTTTTTTAACTAGTTTTATGCATTTTTGTTCTATATTCTCCTTATTTAATCCTGTTTCACCCCGTAATTTCTCTTCATGCCCTCCCCTGCTATCGGGGCTAACAAATCAAGATTGTTGATGGAAATGGTACTCAGATCTCGTCAATGAACCATTTACACAAAAAAATGCCAAGAACTGTTAAAATCAATGGATTTCCTGTAGATAGATATCAAAACTGTTTCAAAAGTAAGCCACTACCTGTTATTCATATTGACCCATAAACATTTACCAAGACCTGTTTAGAATGCGAAAAGGAAAGACCACTTTCTGCATGAGTGCTCAGGTCATGCATTTGGCCTTGGATAGCCAATGTCTAATGCTGCGTTCGGAACTGCTCGTCCTGCTTGTCCAGACCAGTTAGACGAAATGTTTTGATCATTCAGAACCTCTACTATCTTGTCCAACGAAGGTGGGCGAACAGGAAACACTGACAGTTGCAGGTAACCACAAGATATTGGTGGGTAATTTTATGGCACTTTATTGGTGTTATCAAAGGATATTTTTGTGTTTGTCAGTTGCAGGCAAGTTAAATATGCATTAAAAGAGTTACAAAACCTATGCAGCGTGCAAAATAAAGACACCAGAGCAATAAAAAAGTAAATGTTTATATTCGAGCTGGTCGCATTTTGGGCAGAAAGGGTCTTGGAGGTTCCGAATGCGGCCCTCTTGTCCTGCTGGTCCTGGACAAGTTGTCTGGGTGGACAAGACAAGGAGTTCCGAATGCAGCATAAATACTAGGACTACACATCAACAGTTTACAAGTACTAATAAAACTTTTACATCTAATAACTCGGTAACCATATAATGTTCAAGGTGAGGATACAATATGTAAGACCTGAAGAAAAATCCGCAGGCTACATATTAATTACTGATATTCCTCTCCTATTAACAGGGTATGACTTTGAATTATAAGCTGCAAATATCAGAATACAATCAATAACGAACTAATATCTACGAAATAACGAAAAGTAATAAATATAACAAACCGAGAAACACATTCACGAACTGAAATTTCTATGAACACTTTGATCACTTGCACATCATAGGAACTTACCTATAAAGCTGATATAACGCTCCTCTAATGCCTCCGTGGTGCTTGATGATCTTGGCAGCCTTAAAAAGCTTTTCTAAGCCGAAGTAACTAGCCATTTTTTTTATTTAGAGAAAAGCCGTCTCGGTGTTCTTTCCCCCAGCTGATCCGAGGCCGAGAATTCACAAATGGACGCATTTAGTTTTTTATCATTATTCATGTTACTCTACACTGTTTTATTATTTTAACAAATATTTATGAAATTAATTAGTAAAATTTTTCAAGGTTGAAAAAATAATCGGCTGATCTGAGGTTTAGAATTCGTATATGATGAATTTCAACAGTTATATCACTATTCCTGAAATGCAACCTATATCTTTGGGATAAGCACTTTCATGAATAAATAATTACATTAAAAATGTTCCTCTTCATTTGTTTTGAAGACGTATGAAATATGTCAAAAGAGGAAGTAAATATTTCACTGAGATGGGCTAAAGTATTTTTATTGTTTTTTGTGATTTTTTGGACAGGGAAAATATATGTAGAATTTTGCCTAGCGCAGGGTATTTATATGCTTGCTACAACTACCATCAAAATGAGTTAAACGTTGATATAGTTTCTTAACTCGTTTATTTATCTAATGTCTCTTCAAAACATGCATCGTTGTAAGCTACACAGTCATTTTATTAACGATGTAATGATTCATTCTTAATTTTGAGATAGAAGCATTATGCTCTTAGTGAAAATATATATGTAATAATAATAACCCACTATCACATATAGTTTAGCCCAGCGACCTGTCCATCAGCTGATAAATACGCCAACCTATTGTGACTGTCAAAGGTAATATTTCATCTCCTTTTATTCTGTGTATAGCATTTTCTCACTGGATATGGCTAATATCTTGCCATATAAAGCAGAAATGATACGTATTTAAAGCGCAAAATTGTTAGTTAAGACGAAAATAGCCATTAGAATAGGTATTTGTAGGGGAGGGGAGGATGCAATGGACTCGGTGGGTGGAATTTTGAAGAGAAAACTAGTGTTTTTCCTTGACCTTTCTCTCACTAAAACAGCTGTGGAGTGAGCCGAGGTTTCATTATGTAACAAATGATAGTTCTTGGAGATGTGTTAGTTGAGAAGTGTATTGCGTGAGTAAAATGTGATGTGAGGTATATGTTTATTTCCCATTTTGATTTTGATTAACTATTTTTCTTTTCTCTTAATTGATTGCCAATGAATCATGTACAATTTTAAGTGGGGGTTAAATGTTGCTGAGAGCGACACAGAGATATAGGGAAATGGACCCTGCCATCTTACTGAGCATAATATGCAGTCTTAAACAACAGGTACAGCTGCAGAGGCCTTATATTTTAAGAAATGATGAAAATATCTTCTGCATATAATCACTCAGAGACAAGTTCTCAACACCCTCACAATGCCAGAGTTCTTAATGTCGATTTTTCTATCATTTGGTACGAACTACTAATAAAGTGGGGGTACAGGGGGGCTTGCCCTTCTGTCTAGGGAATAAAAAGTTGGTAGGAAAGGTTAGGTTTGGGTGGTTAAACAGGAGGATATCGACTTTTGGCTTGTGCATGTTATTGCATGCTTCATATTACGAAGACTGCTGGTTTGGGACCCAGAGTCTGGAGTGTGTTCCTAGTAACAAATACCTTAAATGGGTGTCGAGATCCTTTTCATGGTTTTGATATGTATAGGATTCTCCTGTGCAGATATAAAAAGAAGGCTAGGTCAGCCAGAACCTGTTTTGGCTACTGCATGGAAGCAAAATAAAGCTCTGACTAGCAACTTGTATTCTGATTTTCTATCAAATATGGTGCAGTGAAATAACCTACACTGTAGAGATGGCTACCCCAGGGCATCCACGGTTTTCACCTGTCAGGAGGATGATAGGTCAGAGGTAATTGCCTAGTTGGGATACAAGCAGTGATTTGTGTGCAGCAAGGAATCATTGTGGTGTTACAGCATAACATGGTGGCCACAGGAGCAGGACACAGGATCAGATTGGAAAAATGTCCCTTGTCATGACTGATGCTGACTTCTGTTCCTCCAGCCTATCTGAGTAGGATTGGTCTCTGCTCAACATGGTTAGGGATGCAGACGCTGTCAAATATATACATCTCCTATCTGTTCCGCCACTCCAGAAAGCTCTTAACGCCAGGTATACTGGCAGTGAATGGGGTAGGCTTATGGCTGCCAAAGCCATGGACAGTGTTAGTAAAATAGTGTGAATCAGTGTGTGAATATTTTACACAATGCAGCCAGAAAGTGTTGGTTTGTGGTTTTAAGTGCCTGGCTAATGACAGTGATTTAAACCAACACATTTAAGTAGACAATATGGTTGCTGGCATACGCGAGCCAACTCTCTGCCACTAGGTATTCTAGAATTGTGACCCAATTGGTAGTGTTGAAAGCCTAAGGACTGCTGCTGCTGCCAGCACTGACACCACTGATGGCATAAACAATATGGGTGACATCATTGTAGCTGCCCGACTTGTGAAAGAAATCTGTACACTATGTGGCTATTGTGGAAACTTGCATCAGCCTGGTAAAGTACATGCCCTGTGGGGGATGCAACATGCAATACCTGTGGAAAGCTGGGCCACTTTGCAAGAGTGTATAGAGGGAAGAAGCAGGCAGGTACAGATGCTGTGGTTTGTGCGTTGGTGGCCACAGCTCAGGTTGTGAACCAACTATGGCTGCAGATATTAGTGATTGGGGCAATTGGTAAGGCACAGCATGCTACCACAACCTTATTTGACAGTTGTGCTCAAGTTAGTATGTCTGGACCTGCTCTGATAAAAACACTTGGCCTCACACCCAACCAGCTGCAGTGGCAAGTAGGACTATGAGTCTTGGCTAATGACCACCTGCTTGTTCTGGAGGCTTCTCCATGCCATCAGTATTCCAAACTGCTCCACTTTTCAGAATATCTACTTTGTCAAGTCAGTGGACTAGGTTTACTTATCCATCTGTGCCTGCAGGGACCTCGGACTAGTACATGTGGATTTTCCACATCCACCACCCTCAGTTCCCTTGCTGGATGAGTTGGAGTGTGAGGCTTTACAGACCTAGGGTGCAGGTCATGTCGCATCTGCCACCAGACTTTTTGGGGGGTATGAGGCAAAAACCACGCTTAAAGGCTGCAAGGTGAACTAAGTATACCTATGAAAATGTGCCAGGGCTGCAAGAGTGGATCCTCACCTTTGAAACCAAATGATACCTACTGCCAGTAATGTCTACTGCCAGTAATGTCTACAGATGCTGTGCCCCATGCATTTTACACCCATGCCTCAGTTCCCAATCACTGGGAAGTAGAATTTGAACAGCAACTATACATGGATGTCAGGAAGGTCGTAATTCTTAAAGTACATGTTGGGCAGGCCACACAATGGTGCGCCAGGATGGTGGTGGTGGTGAAGAAATCAGGAAAACCTTGTGACATGGTTGACTTTTAGAAACTAAATGAGCATTGGTTGCTTGGGACTCATCACACTCATGCACCTGTCAACATGGCCTCTAGAGTCCCTGAGCACTCCTATGAAACTGTGGCTGATACCCATTGGGGCTACCACCAGGTAGAGTTGGATGAGGAGAGGTGGCAACTCACAACTTTTATCGCTCCATGGGGCTGGTATCAGTACTGCAGGACATCTATGGCGTATTGTTCAGCAGGGGACACTTATACTAAGAGGTTTGTCAATGCTATTATGAACCTGCCCTAGAAGTATAAGTGTATTGACGATACTCTCTTACATATATGGTATACATATGAATTCCTAGAAGTATGTGCCAAGACTGGGGTAACACTGAATTTAGAACAATTCCAGTTCTGTAAGAGGAAGGTATTATTTGTGGGCTACCACTTGAGCTGGGACACATGTGAACCCTCCAGGGTTGCCATCAGAGACTTCAAGATGTGCACACCCCTCCAGCACCAACATACGCTCATGGATTGGGCTTGTAAACCAGTTGGTGTCTCTCTAGGACCTAATGAAGAAATCCACCAATAAGATAAGTCTTCTGGGATGACTACCAAAAATTCACACTGGCTAAGGAGACCATCTGTCAGCTGGCCAGGAAGGGACTGGCATACTGTGACAAGAGTCAGCCCTCCATTGCCAGCACAGGTTAGTGCAAAGATGGTATTAGGTTTGTTGCCATGCAGAATTACTGCTCATGACCATCATTCACCACACCTCTTTGCTGTAAGAGTGACTGGCATCTGTCACTGTGAGGCAGTTGGCTCCTCACTCCTGCTGAGTTGGGGGTATGCTTTATTGCTACAGATCACCAGCCTTTGGTGAGGTTTTTTGGCAATAAGGCCTTGGTGGATATTTCCAACCCACACCTGTTCCACTTGAAGGAGCGAACCTTGCTTACCTGGGAAGCATGATGTGGTGTCAGATTTCTTATTGAGGTATCCTGAAGCCAGGGCCCACCCAGATGAGGTGGACAAAGAACAGGATGCCATTGCCACTGCTGCCACCCTGTATTTCAGTGGGTATGCTACCTTGGACAAAGAGCTTGACATTCAAGTGGCAATTGAGGACCCCATCTATCAGCTACTTGTAGGAAAGGTTACCAACAGCAACTGGGGTTCTCACTGGTCATAGGAGCTTGCCTGCCTCAGGCTGTTTTACAGTGTGAAGGATAGATTAGCTGTAGCAGGAGACTTTATATTGGCCTGGAATAGAAGGCAACCTGTAGTACCACCATGCCCCCTGTGGCTCCTGCAGCACCTTAGCCTCTTCTACTAACACCAGCAGACTGTGGCAGATGTATTTCAGCTTGGAGGTGTATGCTGACAGACTTAATGGATGGTTGGAAGTTGCACACTCCCACTCAAGTTCCTCCTCCTGCAAGATGATGAAGCACTTTTGTCACTACTTCACTAGGTGGGGAGCTCAAAAGTAGTTTACAAGAGATGGTGGGACTAATATAGTGAGGAAAAGGCTAATTTCCTCAAAAGTTGGTGTGTTGTGTCTCATCTCTTCTCTGCTCAATACCCTCAGTCCAATAGTTGGACTGAGGCTGCTGTGAAGACAGCCAAGAGGATATTGTGGGATGACTTGAGACCAGGAGGCAAGTTAGACAATGACAAGATGTCTCGCTTTTTTCCAGAACTTGAATACCCCATTATGTGGGGTGAATAAGTCTCCCACATAAATGACAACAGGCAGGCAGCTCAGGGATGGCATCATCCACAAAAAAAAAAATCGACCCCTAGTGGGAACAGACCCTGAACCAGAGGTTCAGAGTCTAGACAGGGTATAGATAGCTAGATAAAACGAGGTTGTGCAGGGTCAAAATTGAGATCAGTATTGCTGATGACGCCATCTACAGCATGGATCCAGTATTTGAATTCAGGACCAGGCCACAGAGCCATGGAGCAAGTCATGCACTGTGGTGGAAGTCTGCTCTTATTGTCAGTATGTTGTAAGGATCGATGGAAGTGGCCGCATATTTATGTAACCACAATCACCTGAAGCAAATGTCACCTAAAACACCTCCTATGCGTCCCATATATATATTTCCTTATAACTTCGTAATTACTAAGTTAATTAAGGTGGAGCAATTACTTCTTGATAGTACTTGGATCACGTTAGTAATACTTTCCTGTTGTGTATTCTTTAGACTTTGTTCTTGTTATAGAATATATCAAGGACACCTGGAATAAACACACGTGGTGGAATGGATAACAAAGCATTTATTTTTTGCCACTTTAATAATATAATAATGCTATAGTTCAATATTTACACTGGCATAGATCCACAAGGCTATAACTGTGTGAGCCCGAGAGCGACTGGCTTCTCGCTTGGCCTTATATACACAATGCTGAATGGGGTAGTTTTACTAGACTCTCACAATCCCTTTAAAATCCACACATGACCTTGCCCCAATAGATAATATCTATTCATGTCAGCAATATATGTAAGGATCAATAATGACAAATATATAAACGCGTTATAATGGTGACAATCCTATGAAATATAGAGTCCAATATTATAAAAAGATTAACATAATTACTTACTACCATTGCTATGATGTGGAAGGTGCCCTATACACTAGTTAACTTGTTTGTCTATGTGGAACTATAGAATACTTATTTTTGAGTCCTTTTCACAATATGTATATATGTGTGTGTGTGTGTGTGTGTGTGTGTGTGTGTGTGTGTGTGTGTGTGTGTGTGTGTGTGGTGTGTGTGTGTGTGTGTGTGTGTGTGTGTGTGTGTGTTTCATATATATATATATATATATATATATATATATATATAATATATACATAAATATATATATATTTATGTATATGTATAATATATGTATATGTGTAATATATGTATATATATAAAATATATTTATATATTTATTTATTAGTTAATTTGTTCATTTGTGTGTTTATATATTATATAACAAAGTTACATCATTTTCTCCATTGGCGTTCCAAGGGCAATTCTTGCCCCTGAGTCAGGCTCTTTGACGCAGCCGTGAGGCAGCTCCTGGCAAGTGCCATGGAAGGAGGCAGTAGTGAAGTCCTGGAAGGGTTTTTGTGCCCCATCTGCCTGGAGGACCTGGCATCCATCACCCAACTCCAGGCACATTTTGAAGAACAACATGGATCTGAAGATAAGGATGTGGTGCATGCTCTTAGAGGTTTGTTGGTGGTTGCTTGAGTTTGCCTAAGAAGCATTAATACTCTGTGGTATATTGATTTACTTTTATATGTTGGCATTGAGGAAACCAAAGACACCAGTTTTTAAATGCAGCCAATATGTAAACCCTGGTTTGAAAAAAAAACAACCTGCTAATGCTTTCAGGATTCCTGAGTAAAGCAAAGAAAAAATTACTTAATGAAGATGAGCCTGATAATGTAGCGCGAAGGGATTTTGATGGCAGTGGATTAGAATATGAGCCTAACAATCCTTGGAACTGGGACCCACCCCCTTTAGGTAAGTCAACTGTATATTTATGTTTATAAGAATTGTTACGCTCATGGTTATGGTATTGATAAAGGAGGCCATAAAGATGCTTAAAGAACGATAATAATCATAGCAATATTTATGGTATTTTTTTCTTAATTCATTTTATGTATTTTAGTATATTGATGCTTGGAGTGCACGTACAAACTATTGCTTTCTTTTCTTTTATTAGTATTGTTTACATATAGATGTATTTAAATAATATATTGTACTTGAGAGTGCACGTACAAACTTATATATTATATATATATATATTATATTTGCTTTCTCTATTTCTTTTAAATTTTGTATTATGAATATAGTGATTATGAAACTAGTATTTATTACGATATATGAAAGATACATGAGTTTATAATCAAATCCGCTTAAAGTACATCAGATGATGGAGAGGTTCACATTACAAGGATTATGTCACAATTTCATCTTATTGTGACAATTTTTGCGTATTAATACATAAGTGTTATAGTTATTTTTTTTTCAGTGGTAAAAAATGGACGTGCTATGATTATCTTGAATTAAGTGCTTGTTGATAGCCATTGCATAACTAATGTTAAGTTATGTAATAATATATAAGGAACTAATGACAAATAAGAATATCAAGTAAAAACAAAGCTGACTAATGTAGTGAGACTGCAATGATATGTCATATGATGGAGTAATTCTCCCTCTCACAATAAATCTGTACGTATTAAAAGTGAAATTATATGTCATTAAGCAAAAAAATTAGGAACTACTTTATCCAATGCAATGCAATAATCTTTCATAACTTAATCGAATGACCACAACATATATATAAGGTGATGTTAATAGAATGAATTTGTTAAGTGTATTGCGAATGAATGAAAATAGTATTTGTCCTTCATATTGTTATTTGATTTCTCAGAAGAATTGATCATTAACTATAGTATCAATTTGGATATAAGAAATATTAGATAAATTACTTAGAGAACAGTTAATTAATCGCAAAAAGATGAATAACTCTGTAACAAGCTCCGATTAAAGGTTTATGCGAATTTAATAAATTGATAGGTACTTGCATATATCAAAGAAGTAAATGTTATAAAATACATTTGTTGCATACACATTTTATGATATTAAATCAATAATAAGAGTATTAACGATAATGATCATGTAAAATGTATTACATTAAAGAAAAATGAAATAATAATTTAATATATAATATATATAATATATATATATATATATAATATAATATATTAATATATATATTAGTATTAATATATATTAATAATATTATATTGAAATTAATATACTTACAATAGTAAATATTATCTAGATTATAATTAAAAGAGAAATATAAATATTGAAATATATATATAATATATACGATATAGATTAAATATTTAACTGTAATAATTGTATATATGTGATGTGCCCTCCTTTTCTTGCAGCCCATGAAAACGAGTATTTAAGTGAATGTGGTAGTACTGATAGTAACAATAGAGATTATATATCCTATAATTTATATGCATACCACAAATTTATTATATTGTGGTCATCAGAACATTTAATATATATGCTCGACGTCGTATTCAATTCTATTAGTAGGTTGTGTGGAGGCATTATGTGTGATGAATGCTCAGAATTCTTGACATTTGATTATGCAAGTAAGTGCAGCCTTAAGTTATACTATCTTCTCGATCTCACTCTCACTCTCATTTCTATTTTAGCCATGTATCAGAAATCCGAGTGATATGCCTCTCCATTTTGTTTTGTTATGAATATTACAAATTGTATCTCGACTGTTGGCCTGTTATTCCTATCCTACACTTTTATTTATTTCTGTTTGCCTAGTCCTTATCTTTTTGATGGTTTAAAATGTTTTCCTGTTTCTAGAAAATTTGAATATAAATAATATTCTTTATATTTATTTTGTATGATTTATTATTTCTCACTATTCCAGCCATCCTTAAAAATCATACCCTGTCCCATATATTCATCACAACACGTTATTTAAGCACCACCGCACCACATGGCAGTCAAGCAACAATGCACCCACCTCAACTCATGCCTAATAGGGCAATACCCATTTAGTTTTACTTTGGCATCCCATTTATCCAGCCTTTTCCAGACACTGTAGTCTCTTGTTCCCTCACCCTCAAACCTGTGTCTGCTATTTACACCATCCTTGTCTTGCTTTATGGTGGAATTGCATCAGTCCGAGTTGTTACCTGTTATTCACCTCTCTCTCTGCATCAGGCCTCAGTCCTCTGTTCTCTTCCTGTCTATCTCTCTCTCTCTCTCTGTCTCTCTCTCTCTCTCTCTCTCTCTCTCTCTCTCTCTCTCTCTCTCTCTCTCTCTCTCTCCTCTCTCTCTCTCTCTCTCTCCTCTCTCTCTCTCTCTCTCTCTCTCTCTCTCTCTCTCTCTCTCTTCTCTCTGTCTCTCTCTGTCTCTCTCTGTCTCTCTCTGTCTCTCTTCTCTCTCTCTCTCTCTCTCTCTCTCTCTCTCTCTTCTCTCTCTCTCTCTCTCTCTCTCTCTCTCTCTCTCTCTCTCTCTCTCTCTCTCTCTCTCTCTCTCTCTCTCTCTCTCTCTCTGTCTCTCTCTCTCTCTCTCTCTCTCTCTCTCTCTCTCTCTCTCTCTCTCTCTCTCTCTCTCTCTCTCTCTCTCTCTCTCTCTCTCTCTCTCTCTCTCTCTCTTCTCTCTCTCTCTGTCTATCACTGTCTCTATCTCTATCTCTCTCTGTCTCTGTCTCCCCCCCTCCCACATCTCTCTCTCCATCTCTCTCTCTGTCTCCCTCTTCGTCTCTCTCTCTGTCTCCCTCTCCCTCTCTCTCTGTCTCCCTCTTCGTCTCCCTCTCTGTCTCCCTCTCCCCTCTCCATATCCCCTCTCCGTCTCCTTCTCCCTCCCTCCTTCCCTCCCTCCTCCCTTCCTTCCGTCCCTCCTTTCCTTCATTCCCTCCCACGAGTGATCTCTGAAGATAAACTTAAGCGTTTGATATTCAGCTCCACTATGTATATCTTCATGCAGAAAAACTTGTTAGTCCAGTTCACCAGGGGAATGTGAATCAAATGACCACGGTAGCCACCACCAGCAGCAGCAGTAGCAGTGGTGGGCCTCTCATGACCTCTTTCCTTGCCGGCATTTCTGGTCTGCGTCGCTCCGGTTCGCAAGGGTCCCTTAATTCCCTCCTGTCAGTGATGGACTCCATGACCAGTGAGCAGCACTTCCGCGTCTGTCGGCACTGTATGGTGGTAGGTGTCTTATATTTTTGGTGATGCTGGATGGATAGTTGAAGGATAGCATGTGTATTGTGTGATTATATATTTGTAGATGTTAGATAGATAGTTGAAGGATGCCATGTGTATTGTGCAATTAAGCTAGTTTGAATATTTGGTTTTTGGTTAGGTGCATAATAAAGAAGAGGGGGACAAGGTTGTAAGTTTGGAACGGAGCATTAAAAGAATAGAAAAATTAGATGAATATGCTGGAACACTGTCTTTTGAATAAAAAATTAGACACGGAACTATCTGTAGGTGGAATGAACTGCCCTTGGATTTATTTTAGTAATTCAATATTATTCATTAGAAAGCAACAAGAATACATTTACTGATAGCTTTGGAGATAATATTTGTTTCTACCCCTCCAGAGACTACAAGCACGAGACAACCAAGTGGAACAACGGACATCAAAGCCAACGTTATCCCTCTACTATGAAAAACTTATGGAATATCGATCATTATTGGAGAGACTTCTACCCCAGTATGTTCAGATGGCAGAATCATTAAGGTAAGGGTCATAATCTTTATTCAAAGATGTGTTAGTAAATTGATATTGTTATTTCCAGTAACCCAATAAGTGCAAAGAATTTGGAGATTGATTGTTTTAGTGGCATCAGATACCTCTGTCAAGGAGGTTATGTTTTTGGTCACGTTGGTTTGTTTGTTGGTTAGTTGGTTAGCAGGATGACTCAAGAGTTATGAATAGATTTTTATGAAAATTTTACCAAATGTGTGTCTTAGCCTAACTTAGATTCATTAAATTTTGGTGTCTATTGGGATGTTATTTGTTTGTTCTTTAGTAGGATAACTCAAAAAGTTATAAACAGAATTTAATTTTACCAGAGGTTGTCCTTAGCCTAACTTAGATTTCAATAAATTTTGGTGGTGATCCAAATCATGATCCAGATGCAGGAATTTTTAAGATGATTGTATCATTACCCCTAGTGCCTTGCCTCTGCCGTGGAGTTCATGTTTACAGATGTCACCTTTATACTTATCAAAGGTGATTTTAGTATAGTTCTTTAAGTGTGAATATTTTTACTGCATCAGCAACCTTTTTGGCTTGGTGGTGGTATGCACTCTCTGAGTGCTTCTAGTTAAAAATAGGTGTTAACGCATTGGATATGGTTGTGTCATGAAAATCATGGTTCCGAAAATACAGGTATTGGGTTACATAATTTGCCAACATTAGTGCAGGTGCATGCAAATACCCATGAGCAGTGACAAGACTCTATGCCTCCCTTTTGCAAAGTTATTTTGTGTAACCCTTTTTAGCTTTTTTGCTATTTTTCAATGTCCGTATTTGTTTTTTGATTTGCTTTATCCTGATGGAAATAGCTTATTTTCATTGCACAGACTCCATATCATCTCTCAATGTAGTATATATGGAACATTTGTTTTTTTGTGTCACATATCTAAGTTTTTCATAATTTTCAGTTTTCCATAATACAACCTGTGCCACGAGTCACAGTATAGAAATGGCGTCCTCCCTGGAGTCGTTGCTCTTCCTGTCACTGCTTATGCACGCTACATCCCACATTCGTTTATTGATGGGAATAATGCTAAAACCCCCTTATAAGTGCCAAATGAGTTAAATCACACTCCAAGAGGTTTGTACACTTGTGGCGAGTCTCTTCCGTCACCCTGGCCTTCATTCATGACAGCAAATTCACATCATCTGGGCCGCGGCCATTTTATCAAATGACGGTATATTCACATCACCCGGCCCTCAACCCAGAATTTTCTATGACAGGACTGTAACGTCATCTGGATCATATTTATATTCATTACTTCAACTAATTATTACCAAGTTTAAAAGATTATGCGTTCATTCTGCTGATGAGATATCCAAGTTACTAATATTAGTTTTTTTCCAATCTCATAGTAACAGCAAGAAATTGTAATTGTGTGTGATGTAATCATTTTTTTGTCCTTGTCCATTTAGTGCAGGAGAAACTACATACAATCTGCAAGATGCTGAGGAGCTGAGAATGAAGATCCTTAAGACTGGTGACAATTTGAACTCCATGGCTCAGAAGATCCGCAACCTTGGGATAGGTAGCCAAGATGTTACTGATGGGGCTGCTAGCAGCATCCCTCTGGGAGCACGGCAGGAGCTCCTACAGAGAAGGATATTTTCAACATCATCTGGGTTCCTTAAAGAACATATTCTAAGCCTTCCAAAATTACCCACCTTTCATGAGCTAAAGGAGACCCAAGAGAGGAGAAGGTTTGTGGGACATTTTTGGAGATTCAATTGTTTATGGTTTGTGTATAGGATTGAATGCACAAAAGGAATTGTGATAAGAAAATCAACAAGATAAAGATTGCAGAAAGTGTTCACTTTATTCTTTGCCTTTCTTCTTATTTATTATATCAGTTTTCTTCATTTGAGCAATAAAAGAAAGAAAATATAATTGCATTCTTCCTCATAATCAGCTCTGTAAAACTCAGCATTACTATCATTCTGATCAGGTTGGAAGCAGAGGCAAGACTGGCAGCTGAAAAAGAAGCAATGCGGCAGGCAGAGGAGAGAGCAAGCGAGATCCTTCGACGTAGGGACAAAGAGAGCAAAGACTCACCAAGAACAACCCCAAACCGGTCAAGCAGTAGTAACACCCCAAGCAGATCAAGCAGCAGTACACCAGTGTCCTTCTCCACTAGCAGAAAAAAACAATCAGATGAAGTGAGTTTGGTTTTTTAGAAATCTTGTTCATTTAGGGATTTTTTTTCTCTCTATTTTGTGCTTGATTACGATAAGCCACATGAGTATTTTAGATGTTCTAAAGGTAAAAGCTAAAATAGAACAAAGATTCCCATTGTGTAAAGACATTTTAATTGAAGAATGATTTAGTAAGTGAATGTTATTTATTAAGGAATCCTAATTGACCAATTTGTCCTTAGATACTAGACATTTATGCGTACTTGACACTGTGCATATTCAATTTTCTCTCAGGTTGTTGTTGACACAGGCTGGGGCCCAAATCTCTGTCCTCCAAATGTAACAGAGACTGATGATCCCATGATTCAGCAGATGAACAATCTTAGGAATTATATAAAGCAGGCAAGGTGAGGATACATTACTTACATATAGTCCGAATGTTTCTGGGCTTGTCATTTGATTTCCTTTGTGTTTTTATTATCAGGAATAATTTACTTACATTTAAAAGAAATTTATTTCATAATAAACCATTTGCCCTAGGTGTATGAACTGTCCACTGTGGTTAAAATTAATTATGTTGTACGCAGAAAGCTCCATGAGAGTTCAGCCACCATGGAGTCAATTAGTAGGCTTTAATGACTGTGCCTGATTTCCCCATTCCTTGAATATGCAATTTGTTTTGCTTCTAATACTGTTGATATTGATACAGTTATTATTATTATAGACATCGTGATTATATTGAGTACTAATAACAATGAAAATAACAAGATAGTAAAAAAGATTCTCTGAAAATCAAGCAAAAGGGGAAATAGGTGAGATAGGTAGGACTAATGATTGACTCCTTGGTGTCCAAGCACTTAAGGAGCCATCTCTGTGCAAACACAATTAATAAACCAAATTTATATGAGCTTAGCATGTATTTTTGCCATCATGGATGATAGGGTTAAACAAGGAATGTAGGCCAATTCATGATATTTACACTGTAATTGTCGCTGTAACTGGACCTGTTTTCCTCCACAGGGAAGCAAATCGATATGATGCAGTAGCTACTCTAGAGGCCAACTTGAAGGAGCTTCAAGGAGAATATAAAAAGCAACAGCGTTTGATGAATCCATAGAAATTGCAGTCCTAGGCATCTATTTAAATTATTTTGGTGCAAAAAACAAAACAAAATAAATTGTAAAAAGCAAAAAGGGAAGAAAAATAGGAGAGAAAGGAAAGGACAAGTAGACATAATAGTGATCTTGTAAATTATGATATAATTATGGATAATAGATACTGAGATTGAATTACCTCTATTATTGTGCTCCCGTTCTCGGTGACATGAACTGCATTTATAGACCATGTTAGGACCAGGAAGATTTTATTTTATGAATTCGGCAGATTATTGATTTAAATCGTTTGAAACCTGATCTGCACATGTGGAATTAATGGTTAGCAGTTCATCTCCAGTTACTTTAGTATGTAAATTGTTACATACATACAAATGGTCGTACATATATACCTGTGTACATGTACACACACACACACACACACACACACACACACACACACACACACACACACACACACACACACACACACACACACACACACACACACACACACACACACACACACACACACACACACACACACACACACACATACACACACAACACACGCACATACACACATTCGCACATGCACACACACACACATACACACACACACAATACACACACACACACGCACACACACACACACACACACGCACACACACACACGCACACACACACACACAACAAAAATTCAAATACATATGTATTACAAAGGAAAATTTGTAAGCTTTCGTGTCACATAGATCTTTTATATATACATATATATATATCTTTTTATCAGCCTTAATATCTGTACATTTATTGCCCAATCAATTTGTCTATCTACTGTCTATCTACTGGGACTTAGGTACTGTGGCAACTGATAAATGATAACAGTTAATGAAACAACAGACGTAGATGGTTACCAGATCTTTTTTGGGGTGGGGCTCAGATCATTTCAGATAGACATTACTTGTACAAAATATTTTCTGCTAAAAAGTGTAATGCTTAGCAATTGTTATACAAAAATTGATGAGTGAAGGAGACAATTTACCTGGTCTCGGGATTACTTGATCTTTATATGTAATTGTCTGATAAATAGTAGTATGGCATGGAAGAAAATGTACTAAATATAGGAGCATTACCTTAGTGATACATCATACCTTAGTGTTTTGTTTTTAGGGAATACCTATTGTGTCTAGCCAGCATTACATAGAAAAGATTGATGTAAGGTGCTGCCGTTTGGATATGAACTTGTCAAATATGACTTGTGAAATTTCCTTCTTTGAGCTTGATCTAGTACACTGTTGTCTGTATCTATACAAATTCTGCCTAATAAGTTAGGTTTTTGTCTCCTCTCTTCTCCCTCCCTTCCCTCTCCTCTTTCCCCTCTCCCCTTCCCTGTCTCCCCTCTCCCCTTTTTGCCTTTCCCCCTTCCCTTTTCCTTTCCTTCCTCCCCTCTCCCCATTTGCCTCTTCCCCTTCCCCTGTCCCTCTCTCCTCTCTCCTCCTCGCCTACTCTCGCTCCATTCATCTCTTTAGAACTCATTTTCACTCCTACAACTAGGGAAAGGTGTGAATGAATCAGTAGGAATCAAAATATTGCTTTTTGAAGCAAATGTACAAATTAAACCTGAGATTTGGTAAAAAGTTCGCTCCTTCCAACCTTGGACAGTTTGGATGTAAAGAATAGTCAACTTCCCGAATACTGGATTGCTAACAAGATCCTCCTCTCTTTGCAGCTGAAGTAATTTTCCCTTTGTTTCCCCTTTTACTTACACAAATACTACCATATAGGAAT